TTGCTGTGCTCCTTGTAAGTCAATGCAAAATGCTACAGGTCTGTAAAAGTTCATTTGAGGAACGTGATATTTTGTTTGGCCAGTCCCTTCTTGTTGCTAGACCCGCTGGCTGGAAGTTTCAGAAACTGACTCTATTAAAAGTTTATCGTGGCAAATTTGGACAGTAATTTGGCAATGCCTGCTTGTGTTTGTTATTGCATTTTTCCCTGTTTTTTTTTTTTTTTAAACCTTTGTTTATCAAAATTTCATCGGTTTGGCATTAATTTGAATGCATTTCTTATACTAGCCATAAGTGAAGGGGGGAGGGGGCATTGGAAATGGTGGAAATAACCTCTGCAAGATGCTTTTTTAATAAATAGTACTGGTTACAGCTGAGAGCCAGGGAGTCAGAGGTAATGGTCAGGGAGTCAGAGCTGAAAGTCAAGGAGTCAGATAAGGGGTCATGGAGTCAGCGCTGAGAATCTGGAAATAAGAGCTAAGTGTCACTGAGTCAGAGCTGAGAGTCAGGGAGACAGAGTTAAGTGTCAGGGATTCAGAGCTGAGTGTCAAGGAGTCGGAGATAAGGGTCATGGAGTCAGCGCTGAGAATCAGGAAATAAGAGCGAAGTATCAGGAGACAGAGCTGAGTGTCACTGAATCAGAGCTGAGAATCAGGAAGACAGAGCTGAGTGTCACTGAATCAGAGATAAGAGTCTGGGATCTCTACAAGCCTCACTGCACCGCTTTGAAGATCCACTTTGCATGTACAGCCACCCAAGCTCTCTGTGGGCTAAGCTGCCATTGAGTAGAAGTGCAGAAGCAGAAACTTGAAAGGGGTGTTCTTCTCTATGGCCAGTAGCAGGATCCCCCCCCCCCCCCACTCTTTAGCAATAGATCAGTAAAGTATGCTGTGAATTCCTGGCATATATATCAAAGTCCACTCATTACTCTAACAGCTATTCCTGTTGAGGTTATTATTAACCGTTCACCCATGCACCTTCCAACTGCTTATCCAGTAGAGGGCGACGGCGGGCCTGGAGTCTATCCCAGGCAGCACCGCTCGCAGGACAGGCTATTATTATAATAAGTACTATTATTGCTATCATCATCATCATCATCATCATCAAAGCTTTTTACAATAAAATCAAGGTGACATGTACAGTGTGGTGACTGTGTGCATTAACAGTGCTGACTAAACCAGACTAACATAAATCACAATTGCTCAACAATGTAGGTCCTCTTTTACTGTCGTTTCCATGCCAATCAAGAGTCATTATCATCAAGACATCAACATGCTTATCAAGGACTTCAATCAATATCATTAATTCTCCTTATATGCTGACAGGACGCAACTGAAAGCTAGCTAAAGTAAATGGGAATACGCAGAGTATGCAGAAATGTGGCCGAGGTCGACAAAGGCTGTGACATCAGCAGCGAGGGGAAAACATCCAGTATCGGAGGTCCGCTACATGGCCACAAGAGCAATTAGCTAATCGCTTCAACATTTCTAAGGTGCGCTAGTCATCGCAGCCACATTTTTAATCGCTCTCGCATCACAGCTCAGCCTGGTAGGAAATTTACCGAACGGCGTAAACAAAGCAGTTTTTCACGCAGCTGCTCCATGGCGATCCAGGTCGACGGCCGCTGATTTACGCGGTGCTGGCAGACCGACAGTCCAAAACACTTCCCCACCTTTATCCAAAAAATCGGCTCAAAACAACTGTTTCAAATAACGGAGTGGATCCACCAAACACGCATCACGCAAATTGCAAACATGTCTAGGCTCCTCTTTCGAAGGGGACCGGCTGGCTACGACAGAGGCAGTTAAGGAGACGGGGCCCTGCCTCACGTATTTCAAACACATCCTGTCGTCTCGTTACACGGCCGGCACAGATGACTTCCATTCTGTGACGCCGGCATCGTCGGAGCACACGAGGCACAGCTGTGTGTCCATGCAACCAATAAATAAAACACCAGCAATGATGACGGTGGGGACCCCAATAGTTTCTCCAGAAGCTGTAAGGGAGACGTTTTTAATAAAATATACAGCTTTTGACTGGCTTCTTGGACTCAATACCCCCTGTGACATAGTATTCCAGATGGCCAAGTTTCCCAAACATGCTGCCCAAAAAATAAAAATAAAATTTTGGGATGGCCCTTACTTTAACGATGTCAAGAGACGCACAATGGTTTATGGGAAAAAGGGGGAATGTTATCCAAGAAAAAAGATCAAATTCGATTGAAACAAACCGAGCTGGCTCTAGCAAAAAGGACATTACAGCCTTTAAGGTCTCCCTCGTCAGGTGTTGTGAAAAAAAAAGTTTGAAAAGACTAATGAGCACTTTTTTTGGAAAAGCCTGCAATTCTCTGGGAAGATCTGGCATGCAAACAACACCGTGGAGGAGACGGACTGTCGTGACCGGAACCATCCGAAACCCAAAACTGAGATGTATAAGTGTCCTGAGCGACGTAGGGATAAGTCAGTACCAGAAGAACCCTTCTTAACAGTTAAAATGATTGAAAGTATATTCGCTATGGGTTTTACACGCGGCGCATATATTCAGCTGGGCATTTACTGCGACTACTCAGGCTACGCGCATGCCTTAAGAGCAGAATTGCATGCCCCCCCCCCTCCCCTTCCTGCGACTTGGAAACGGTTAACTTTCTGGTTACAGCCTCACATCCTTAATCACTTTAAGCTACTTATTGTACTTACTGCTCGCCAAATCACGTGTACGGGCATACAAGTAGACATGGAATCTCTCTTGCGGGGGAATGTTAGTAAATATTAGTACATAAACATTTACCAGAATGGAGGTAACTGCTAGAAACCACCCGTCTCATTAAACAACTAAACAGGCTCTCCATTGTGCATGAAGAACTTGCCAACGGAGAATGCGATGCATGAACTGATGATCCTTCCTCTTCTTTATGCTAGCATTGCAGGAAAGCCTACTCTAAATGATCGTGAGCTGTGATTAAAAAGCTCATTTGTCTACAGCTGGATCCAGATGTTATGGGTTTTGCCTGAGACTGTGTTGCTGTTATCTCCCTTGTTTTTTCGCTTACAAAGGCTTCCAGCAACTTTCCACAGCGAGAGTCCATGTCCACCCCCCCAAACAAAACGGCTGCCTGAACAACACCTTTACGTCTGCTGTGTTTGTGCCGCGTTCAGTCCAGAGCGCAGATTTCCAAATAACAGCGGAGGCTTGCCAAATTCCTCGTCTCCGGCCAGAAACCGTTATGAGAACCAGCTCCGGAGAACTCTTTTGTTTCCATCCGTTTCAGGAGATTTCACTCAGCGGCCCGGACTTGAAATCCCGCTAACACCACAAGAAATGGGACTTATGTTACCGGACCAGTAAAACACTGCAAAGGAGCTGTCCTGCTCAGAGCCTTGTTAAGCCCAGAGGAATGTACAGCACAATCCAGCCAGAAAAAAATATAAATATTTGTTTACTCTGCCTGTGTTATTATCCTGCTCCATATCCAGCTATCTGCATTAAAAACATCCATTTTGTTCTTCATTTTTTAATGGAAGATGTTATTCTGTCAATAGGAAGAGGTCTGTTTTGCTAGGCTTGGCTGCTATTTATCGAAGGTCAAACTTTACATGGCTTGTTCAATGTGAACTAAATCCTATACACCAATCTGTTTTGCTTTCTTTCTTCTGGTCTGGGAGTAGATCAGTATCAAATTTCCACGATTTTGTAAATAAAGTAAACCAGACACCAAATTCTGCTGTCCACCTAGTAGATGTTTTCACAGATATCATGTAATTTACCTCCACTCTGTGCCTTTAAAACTGCCAGCAAAGTATTAGAAGACAGCTTGTACTGTGCTACTATGGATGATCTCGCATCTTTGGAACATATCACAATATTCAGATCTGTTCTCCAAAAACTACGGTTTCCTGTTTCATGACAAGTGGTGTTCTTCGTCCATACCGTTCTCACCAGAAAAACTTTGAAATTATTTCACCAGCACTTCCTTATTTTGTTTGGTTTTTAATCAAAGGATGTTGTACAAAGACTACACCGTGATACACATTTAATTTAATTTCCTTTGGAAGTAAACTGGCATTAGCGAAGTATTTGTTTGGCCCAAGCAGATGACTGGCCTTTGCTGGGGCAGCCTTAGTCAGACTTGTCAAGAAAAAAACTTCTCTTCAGCATCTGTGACCTCTGTCTGCCTGAAGATTTGTAAGGGATCTTTAGTCTGCTGGTCAAGGGAGAACTGAACGCTGTGTGGTTACTAAGGAGCAGAATCACTTTCCTTCCTAAATTTACAGAGGTGCCTCTTCTGTTTGTGTTCTAAAATGCACATTAAGGGCTCTTGATGGTCATGAAAATGAAGTGCAGTGCTAACACGTTAGTAGCTCAGAATTAAGTTAGACGTTAAAGGCGTTACTCTTTTCATAAATCAAAAGGTAAAAATCCCAAAAAAAGAAAAAACATCGTGGTGACTACACTGTGAGAGATGTAAAAGTACTCTGCACCCCGCTACGCTGGAGCACTGCCTTGTTTGTCCCGTGGCAGCCAATCACTGACAGTATATTTCTCACATCACCTGACCTTGGGCTTGATTGGCGGAAGCCGGTTTGACACAGTGAACTTGGAACCGCTGGCAGTGGACTCGACGCACTGTTTTAGGGGGGATGCCAAAAGACACAAACGGGCAGGACTCATTTGGCACCGCTCTTGTTCGTTTTCTGTTCCAGCGATATAATTCAATTTTATAGACGCGACTCGTCCCTGTAGATACTTAAGGTCGACTACGATTCTGACATACTCCAGACACATCCTATAAGTAATGGAGTTCATTTGCTGGCTGTAATGATTTCAAGATGTTTTAAATAATTAAGGGAAATGACAGACATAAGTCAAACATAATATGCAACTAAATATAGTATTACAGTGTAGTACTTTTGTAATTTTACCATATATGCATGCTCATATGTCACGGTTTCGTTTATATTACTTTGTCGTTCAGGACCATGCGACCGTGCGCCTCTGGTTCTACCTGAATCGGTGGCTGTGATGATCAGGGTGTGTTTCTCTTGGGCCTCGCGGTCCAGGCTCTTAACGACACTGAGCTGCCCACCAGCGGACAGAACGAAGGCCCCATCCTCGTTGCCGCCGCTCAGAGTGTAGCTCAGCTGCCCATTAGCGGCGTGGTCGTCGTCTCTTGCGATCACCTACGGCAGAAAGGCTTTCTCGTCAGGGAGGAAGATTAAAAATGCACGCAGGCGCATTATCCTATTAGAAACCCTCCGTTTGCCGCGGGCCCGGCCTTTCCGGACCCCCGTGCCCCTACGGCTCGTCCATCGCTCTGGCACGTGGACGCGATCTCTAGTGGCGCACGGATGACAGCTGGCCTGCTTCCCAGATCGACAGCTGGGGCTTGTTCTCTCCACATATGGGTACAGGAAGTACAGTCGCTTTACCTTTTGTCACAGGAGACATGCGCTTTAATAGCTTATTAAGACGGTTTTGCAAGTCCGGATTCTCCGTTTCCGGTGACGGGCTGCCGCCCCTGACAGCTGCTATCCATCTGTCGCGTGTACGTGGTCCGAAAATTGTGACAATATTCATTTAGCTATTTTCTTTATAAATGGACTGTGTGGGACTGAGATGAAAAGTGTTCCTATAACCACCTGCCTTTTCATACATTAATAAAGGATGAAACATTAACATCTAATGTTTAACATCCCATAAGATGAAACATAATAAGGTTTCTTAAGATTTATAGTAGAATAATGCATCCAGATCTAGATGAATATATATTCTCATTAAATTAGTTTTTTTTAAGGCTTATGATTCTCTTTCTGTTATCTATTATCTATTTTTTGTTATGGGCTGTATGGATTCTGTTCCAACCATACTGCTGGTTTAATTCAGAGCATCTTTATGGAAGAGAGTAATTTTTCTTCATGAGATGTCTGCTTTTTTTTGAAAGCAAGATGTACTGACCTGCAGCACGGTGTTGGGAAGTCTGCGGAGGTTCTCCTTCACCGTCACAGCGTAGGGTGAGAGCTCGAAGACGGGAGTGCAGTCGTTGACGTCCAGGAGCAGGATGTTGACCGTGGCGCGGTCCGTCCGCTGGCTGCTGCCCCGGTCAGATGCCTGCACCACCAGCGAATAGGAGGCCTTCTTCTCCCGGTCCAGCTGTTTGACCACCGAGATCATCCCCGTGACCGAGTCGACGCGGAAGTCGCCGTTCGCGTTCCCGCCGCTGATGGAGAAGCGGATCTGACCGTTCGTGCCCTCGTCCGCATCCGTGGCAGTCACCTGGAGCACATCAGTGCCGGTCAGGGTATTCTCCTCGATCTCAATGTCATAGATGTTCTGGGAGAAGCTCGGGGTGTTATCGTTAACATCCAGGACGATGACGGTGACGTCCATCGTGGCTGACAGAGGAGGTTCCCCTTTATCTGTCGCCACAATGGTCAGCGTGTAGTTGGACAGCTCCTCCCTGTCAAGCTCCCCGACGAGTCGAACATTCCCGTCCACTGTCCCAATGCCGAACTTGCTCCCAAAGGGACTGAGCAGTGAGTATTCCACGTAGCTGTTGGGCCCGCTGTCGGAGTCGGTGGCCTGGGCCGTGAAGACGACCGTGTCCACGGGAGTGTTCTCCTGGATGTAGGTCATCTTCTGCGAGACGAAGGTGGGCGGGCAGTCGTTAACATCCAGCAGAATGATGGACACTTGGGCCGTGCTGGTGAACCGTATCGCAGGGGGGGCCGCCAGGTCGTGCACTTTGACCACCAGGTTGTAGAAGGACTGGATTTCCCTGTCCAAGACCTGCTTAGTCTTCAGAACTCCGTCACTGCTGATCATGAACTGGCCCAGGGAGTCTCCAGATGCAATGCTGTAGGCCATCTCAGCATTGGGGCCTAACAGGGAAACAGCAGGAATGACACACACATCAGACCTCCTATTTAATCTACTACAGTAGGTGCTTACCCTGGACTTAAAACACTCCTTCACTGACAGCTACTGTAAAATTTCTTAAAGATGTTAGAGTCTGTACATAGGGGTATAAATATCTATGTTTCCATTTTCCAAACTGCTTATCTAGTACAGGGTGAGCCCAAAATTAGACTATCAATATCTATGCTTCCATTTTGCAAACCTCTGATCCACTACTGAGTGCGACCCAAAATCAGAGGGCACAAGGCAGGGGGCTCCCTGTACGGGATGCCAGGTTTACCCACTTAGCTGCCAAGGCACTCAGCCTATACATAGATTTACATTGCTGAATAGATTCATCTATTGCTGAATTTTCCCTAATTTAAACATGAATTTTATTATAAAGTAAAAAAAAAAACAGCCTGACAGTCCTCAGGCTCCGGAAAAGAGAGCGACTTTCTCGTCTGTTTCTCCTGCACGTCTTGCATCAGTCACACAGAGCAAAACCACAGAGAGAAAGGTGCATTGTGTAATCCTTAGAGCAAGGAAGCCCGTTTTTGAATGTTGCTGGATCCTTGACGCTCCAATGGAAGGGGGGTGGGGGGGACGGGGGGGACGGAGGGGGTGAGGGCTTGGTTCCAGGGGGAATGAACGCCGCCTTTCCTTATGCTGCTTAATATCCTGTGCACATATGTCACCCCATCAAAGGACACACACATTCGTCCCTCCTCTCCGTCTATAGCAACAACTGCCGGCCTGCGTGTCAAAGGTCAGGGTGATGCAAACTCCAAAAAACAACGTTTTCCCAGTGAAGAGCCACTTAGAAGCTTGCTATGATTGCAGTGAATAGGGTTGGGGGGGGGCTGTAGTGGGGGGACAGGCAGGAGACGGAATTCAGAAACAAGGGCTAGCTAGCTAGCTTCCCTTACTGGGGGTATTTATGCTGCAAAATGTTCACTATGAGTTGGTCGGCTTGGGGCAAATGCACTGTTAGAACATTTGAGCCATATATTTACCATCTCATCTTTCCCGTTTGCATTTTTGTTAAACGTTGTGCAAACATCTGTGGGAAAATATGTTCGTTTATACGCTACACACGTGTTGAATTACATGTAATGTGAATTCCTTACCATAATTATGCATGCGGTATTATCTAATTCTCATGAGTGGAACGTGTTAATGATGCTCAATCATCTGGATTGTGTAACGGAGGCGATACAGATGTCCCCGCTATGCTTCATCCCGTGTCCGACTTTGCATGCTTCCTTAAGTACCTGCACCTGTCCCTGAAATCCATGTGTGTAAATTACACATACTGAAGCCTTTAGTTAATAGCTGCAGTGCAGCTTTGAAAGCAATTTCCCCGTGAGCCGAAAAGGTAGACATAAAACCAGACAAATAGCTTTTGGCTAATGATTAGCCTGCACCGCTTAAACAGTCATCCATCACATTCTCATGAGTAAATATTAAATTTAAAAATAGCTTAATGTGCGTATTATCCTATTATGTTCTTCTCGTTCACTGGAGTTATTTGTACACCCTATCAGAAGCATAATTCGTTGGGCTTTCAGAAGCGCAAAGCAACGTAACCATGCTAGCTATGCGATGGCTGTCGGCCTGCTCGAGGCGTACCGTCATCCGCGTCGCTGGCTCTCACAGTGACAATGCTAGAGCCTGGAGAGATGTTTTCCATGACTGAGGTGCCGAAGGTGCTGCTGTTGAAGGTTGGCGCGTTGTCGTTGATGTCCAGGATGTTGAAGTAGACCCGGACGGAGCTGGCTTGGCCGCCGCCATCTTCTGCACGCACCGTGAGGATGTAGTACTGCTCGGCCTCGTGGTCCAGCTGCTGAGTCACGTTGAAGACACCCGTCACCGGGTTCAGGAGGAACACCCTGTCCTCATCCTCCTCCTCGAGGGAGTACGTGATCTCTCCGTTGGTCCCCGAATCTGCGTCACTGGCTAAGATGGCTGCCACAATAGATCCTGCAATGTATGGGAGTGGACCGTTTATGAGCGTCAAGCTACATATCTTTTTCACTGGCCAAACACATTGATACCAAGTGTTTTCTTCTTTCTAAAACTGCTTAAAGCACAGTTTCAAATGTTAAAAACAACAGCAGTTATTATGGTGTTCTTGTGGGTTCTGGCCTAGACACAGGCTAAGCACTAACAAGCAAGAAGTAATATGCGTTGGCTTCGAAGGTCTGGCAACCATCAGTGGCAAATGCGCTGGTCAGAACAGGCCACAAACGCTTGAGAAAATGAAACAGAAAGTGGAGGAGGACGTTCCAGCCTGTCAAGGGCCTACCTGGCGCCATATCTTCCGGGAGGTCGAAAGAGTACACAGCTCGCGAGAATTTGGGCGTGTGGTCATTGATGTCGCTGACGGTGATGTTGACTTGCATGTCCGACGACTGCTTGCCGTCGTCCGCCCGCACCAGCAGCGAATACTTTGACCGCCGCTCCCGGTCCAGCCTCTTGGTGGCAATCAGGTCCCCAGACTCGGGGTCGATGCGGAAACTGTCGTCAGCGCCGCTGATTATCGTGTATGTCACCAAAGCGTTTGGTCCCTAGGAGGAAAATACAAGCAAAACCTTTATGTTTTTATATTAGAGCTGTAACACAGTATGGAAGCCACAATACAGGATATTTCAGAGGGGCATGGATACCCTAGCAGATTCAGGGGGGGCTTGAATACATAAAATTATACATAAAAATGGCTTTTTTTCTAGCTACGCCTCTGGATATAACAAAAAAAAAAAAGAAATAAAATAATAATAATAATAATAATAATAGAAGTAATGGTAGAAAATAACGCTGGTATTTCTAATGCTGCAAATGCTTTAACAAGCTAATTGCTTTAAGTAAAAACAATGATTTTTATGGTACTCTTTGTACACATTTTTAAATGGTTAAAAAATGTAAAGATGCAGATTTCGTGTTATTGGAGTAGAATTACATAAGTGAGTAAAAATGATTAGTGTATTCCCACATGTCTAATGCTATAATCCAGCAACCAGATGAAATCAACACAAACTATCCGGAACGTGTCAGTTTGGAGACTCAGATGGTCTCTTGCTATGGTATTAAGCCATAAGCAGTTAAACCCCACTGTCTGTTCGTAATTTCTTGGACTGAGTTCTGTTTTCCCCCCGAAGCGAAAGAAACTCAGGCTGGTGTTTGTCTTTGCTGGAAAAACGAGGCGTTTTCGCTGGGCCGACCGGACTGTCATCAATCAGGGCCAGGCTCTGGGAAATCCATCAGCCACCTGGCCTGCAACCACCGCGGCCGCTGGCTCCAGATCCCCGACACCCCCGGCCAGCCAGTGAATTATTTGGTGGGACTCGGCAGGAGGAAGAGGAAGTGGAGCTTCAGTCCTGGGACACAGTCCCTGACCTTCACTTAGACCTTGAGCTTTTTTATGACCCTCCTCTGGCCCGGTAGAAGAGGAGGAATCAGATTTAAAGATAGAAATATAGCAACCGGGACTCAAAAAAACACACTCACACAAAAGTCATCCAGCAGATCTGGGGCCAATTTGAACACGTCTGCTTCTGAAGGGCCTTAATCCCAGAGGTGGAGAGATCCATCCCAGCTTGGACATTAGCGGCTGCTACACCATCGCAGGGATGCTACATCAGCTAAATGACTGTGAGCTGTCATGAGCTCGGCTGCTGCAAGATCTTTGTTTTTGTTTTCTTTCTATTTCCCAGTTGAACTCTGACCTAAAATGATCTGCAAATCTGGTGAGGCGAGGTTAGGGCTACAAAGGGCCTTTTGATCCGCAGGTCCTCAGCTGTCGTTTCCTCAGGCCGTTATTCCACGTGCACGTAACGAAATATTAACACAACAGACACCAGGCCAAAGCACACGCTCCCTCCTGAGGAAGTTGCATCCAAGTTTTCCCGAAAAGCAAACCCTTCGGTGTAGCGATCTCCCGGGTTGCATAACGCTTATCGTCCACCATATTGACATACTGGACCGCGCTTCACGGCGCCTTAAATCATCGGATTTTAGCCCGATGTGAGTTATTCATTCAGGATTACTACAGCTAGTAAATCTTGAGAGCTCCTCCGCGTTTTATTTTGCTCAAATGAATTTTGCCTGGCGCTCGTGAGCTTTCGTCACGTGTGGTCATGTCGTGTGTGTCTGTCCGGACATGCTTGAACATGTAGGGTACTCCACATCCGCAGATTGTGGGATTCCTTTACTGTGGGCATCGTCCGAATCTTCCTACTGATGCTTTTGAATAAAATAAAAGTTTTACAGCATGCCTTCCCAAATAAGTCTGCATGCTATGGCCATATGTCTTTTTTAATTAAAAGGGGTGGAAAAGCACTAGTAAAATTCGTTTAGCACTCTCTAATCTATTTATTGTGGTAAAATCTACTGCTTGAAAACCGTCTGCAACAAACGCAGAGAGTGTCTAACGTGTCTAACGATTGATCCCCCTTAGCTATAGAGTAGGAACCTTGCTATGTATATTGATTCTCAAATAAATGTTTCATTTCACCTCCTTAAGAACCTTTTTGGTCATATACTGAGAGGTACAACACGTGTCAGTCTGCAGTCTAAGGAAAAGAGACATTCTGTTAAAATTGAGGACTGGAGATCATGTTAAGTTGTGAATTTCTCAGATGTTAGTTTCACATAGTGGTGAGGTTACGGCCCGTTAACAAATCTGTCTGCTTTGTAAGGGCTGTAAAGTATTCATTTCCACGTTCTCGCAGGTCCTTCAAAAAGCCCTTTCTACAATGGCCTTAACACTTCACCTCTGCTGAAAGCTTTAGAATTTCATTGGCCGCGCTCAGAGTCGTGGTCCTGAGAGATGCTCGGCACCAGCGGATTGCAGTCAGTGGTAGGTTTCAATTCCACATCCTGTTTGAGGCGTGGAAGATGAAGTCCTTCCATAATCAGGAGTGAAGTCAATGATGTAATGTGAACTACAGAAGCCGTACAGGGACCATCTGCATAACGTGAAGAATCAATCGTTGCACATTACCCTGAGATTCCTCAAAGCTACGCTCTCAGGACTTCTCAGGTAACAAACGTGTGTGATGTCTGGGGACATTCTGTGCCTGAAACGGTAACTGTGCCTCTCAGGCCAAGAACATTCATATTTGCGGCTGGGTAATTTGTGGGCGAATTTAGAACTGCCTGACTTGGGCAGGAAAAAAGAACTCAGAAGGGTAACAGAAACCAACTTCCTTACTTAATTTCACATTTTTTCTATTTTCCCATCACATTGTACCAGATTCTGAGATGTCCAACCCCATCACACTACGGAGTTACTCAAGACTCTATCAGTGTGCTTCTTATGCAGGAAGAACCGCTATTGTACTTCATGCCATCAAGACTATGCGCAAGAAGGGTTCCCTGAGTAGAACTCAATATTTTGGTAACACGTTTTCATTAGTCAGCACCAGTTTAATCCTGTATGATTGTCACTTGCTGGTCCAGGGGGAATGTTATTTTGGTGCCACTGTATATCAATATGGATGACATGACAATAAAGCCCTATTGACTTGTCTTGACTTGATAAACTCCAGCATTCACCCTATCTGATACATGAATCAGTCATGTTCTGTCTGGTTTATCTTAGAACTGTCATATATCCTCCCGAGTATATGCAGTACCCACACATAGGGCATTGCACCATCTTTTGTCAAAGTAGGGTGATTTACCTCATCAGCATCCGTGGCAGTCAGCTGCACGATCTTGGACCCGTCACCGATGTTCTCTGCGATGGTCACATCGAGCATGTCACTGGGGAAAATCGGTGGGTTGTCGTTGATGTCCTGCAGCGTTATCTCCACCTGGTGGGCAAAGCAAAATGAGCTTTGAAGGCGTTATCAATCAAGTCCACTGCAGCCCTGGAGTATACCCTGGAGTATACCCTGGAGTATACCACAATGTACTCCGCAGATTTCAGGCTGTCCAGAAAAAAACACAATAAACTGGTATAAAATTTCACACATTTCAGTTAATGTTAAATAGGTGACAGGAGATCTGACAGCAGGAAATATATTTTATATTAGATCTGTTTTTTAAATGAAAACTTCAATTATTCACCCACAGTTGTAACGAGACGCCAGAATATAAGCTATATTTCATAGCAGAAGCAGGTGGTCGATGTTAGAGAATCCTAGGAGATCTCCATTTCTCAGAGTATAGCTTCCTGCTTCTCTGAAGGCCCCCAAAGTTTCCCAAAGAGCCGCTCTCACCATAAACAGTGTCGGACAGAAATATGAGATGGTGCGAAACGTGTTTGTCGTGTGTTTACATGTCTGTGACCGGCCCCCGGCCCCCGGATCGCAATATTTGCAATTTAATCCTGTGATTCAAATTCAGTCCCGTAACGACTGCTGATGTAAATACGGACTTGGAGGCTAGTAAACAACACTGCGCTTGAATCATAAACAAACATTCGTTTGGCACTCGTTGTTTGGGGATCCTATAAATATGAGATCATAATGTTTGTTGCGGGACAACAATGCCTATTAATGTTGACGGTATTACAGGCAGCCTGTGAAGGCCAGGACTGAACGTCTACTCTTTCTCACAATAAAGTGTAAGTTGTCCACAAAGACAGTGTTCAAATCGTGTTTCCCTGCCGAGTTCATACAGCTTTGTCGACAGGATCCAAGACCACAAAACCACCAAGGAAAGAGAAGGAGGCAGAGAAAGGAGAGGTATTTATTTTACTAGTGACAAAGAAAAAAAATCGGGCTTCACATATTCTGTGAGTCTTCTCAGCAAGGTTCTAATAGAGGAATTGGCCCTCTCTGTAGATGATAAAGTTTCTAAATACAACTCAAACACAAGGCTTGCTTAATGGATTTCTCAGACAGTCCAACATAAATGAAGCAATCGCTGATGCATATTTAAACGATTTCCTTCATGCACACTGAAAAAAAATTGCCCATTTCCTTGATGAATAACCATTGTGTATTCTCAAACGTGAAGTATAAAAATATTAAAGACAATCAGAAGTGTTTCCCTATGGCTACAAATGAGTGTAATTCAAAGGTTACGTTTAAAAAAAACTCTGCCATTGTCCAGCCTCCAGCTGGAAGATCTTTTGCGCGCAGAATTGCGACCTGACAGTGGATCGGCGTTGCATTGGCCCCTCCTCGCAGCCCGTGTATAATCTAAGAAGCTGAGACGACGGGGTCGGAAAGTGCAGTGGGAACAGTACCATCAACAAACAGTGAATATTTATTCCACATTTGCATCCCATTGACATGTAAATGTGGTGTGAAAACCAGCTCGGAACTAAGACGGTTATAAGGAGCAAGTACCCTCCCCTCCCCCCCGCCCCCCCACCGTATTTTGGCGAAAGTCATCTGCCAGTGTGAGGTTAACTTTAGAGTGCCTGGTGAAAAATTCATCATGAAAAGAGGGTTAGGGAGTTAGGGGAGATGAATGAGGTCTGTTCTACACTATCCCTGTCGCTCACCTGGCGATGAAGAGCTTGGCACAGGTGAAACACCTTGGTTTACATGGGAAAGATTCCTTTTTGCAGCTTGAGTTTCAGCCCACAGCTGTTTACTGGCTACCTGACTCCATTATTGATACACCGTATGAATGATTAACAAGCTAACCGCTCTCAAATGCTGCCTCTTTTATGGTAGCTAAATAAGGAGAGCAGGTCTGTGCAAGACATTTCTTTATTTAGAGGTGCGACTTTATTTTTGTTGACCAAACTACGGTGAATGACGCTTATGCAGGAGAAACGCAGCTGATTTCGTTTCCATCAGAAGCGCCATTCTGCTGGCACTCGTCTTCCGCTGCCCGTTAGCTGTTCTGCTAATGCAGTATGCCTCCGTCTTTCATCTCTACCTGTATGTTTCGATGTGTTTTCTGCATGTATGTGGGCGCTGAGCATATTTATGCAGTAACTTTAGATGCTGTAATCAGAAACCCTACTATTAGTTATATTTAGCATTCTCTCAAAGCCGTGGTCTGCACTGTGCAGGCTATTCAAGTCCCGAGACCATGTAGGATCTGTGTCACCTGCTTCAGTACAAGGTGCGATGGTGTGCTTTAGTGCTCAGATTCCCATGCTCTTGAGTTAATACTCAGATGCTGACAATCAGTGCTTCTGACACTCCGGGCAGCTACAAAGCCCAAATGACGCAATTTCATTTAATACCAGCAAATGAAGTGCATTAAGTCCGATTCAGTTCACACTGTAACTTTGTGAGGTCGACCGTGCTCAACATAGCTGCCCGAAACTGATCAACGTCAAGTTAGCATCAGCTTTACCGGCAGACGCGGACGTTGCGGCATTTACCGTCCAACGTGACGGCATAGTAGGCTAGTTTGACAGCAGTTAATGCACATGTGAAAAATCTGGATAAAAATGAAGGCAAGGAAGCAAAAATGACTCCAAGGGAGGTGATAGAGGCCCAGAGGTGGGTAATATACAGCTAGTTAATATAGGAGGATGTGAGGTTCTGTCATTAGCCCTGCTGTCACGGAAGTGTCTTTTTCATTACGTCTATAAAGGGACGGCAAATGCTACAAACCCAGCGTTTCTGAGCATTTCCGTCCTGTTGTAGGCTACATATACAGCGGGTGCAGATTTTACTTCTAAAAAGAATGTGAAAGGAAGGATATTGTAAATAGGAACAATTTTAATGGTATAAAAATGCAGCACGAGGCCTTACAAGGAATTGAATATCCAGTCCTCTGTAAAGCCAATTAAGAAAATATAAAATTGAGGTAGCATTTATTCAGAGGTTTTTGTGAGAAAAATAAAAAGGACAGAGTAGTGGATGAACTATAGAAACCCAGAATACTGCCATCTGAACTTCCAAATAGCATATGCCAGTCAGACTTTCCTTTGATCAAAGAGAGGTCTGGCTTCGCAGATGAGAAATGCGCAGCTCAAGTAAATCCAGGGAGACAGAAATGCGTGTTTGATTCATGACCATTCATCATCTAAAATCAGTATTGTGATTGTTTTTAGGTATAAAAGCCTTACTGGACTGATCCTACAAGGGAGAATAAATAGCTACAATCTCATTGATCTGGCCTGTTGGTTATGGCAACTTGGTTATGGCAAGGGATTCGTAGGATAGATTTTCTGCCCTTGTACAGGAAAAGTTTCCATGTTGATTTTGAGTTTGCACAAGGACTTGGATTGTGCTGCTAATTTGACACATAAAGCAAACTTCTCAACAAAGCTAGCGTCTCTTAATGCCGGAGAATGAGTCAGACATTGGATGAGCATGAAGTAAAAGAAATTTGCCAAAGAACAATGTCAACAAAAGTTAACGTTTTGTTTAAAAATGACAGCAGAAAGTAGCTGTTATAATGTTATAATTTTCTATAAATATGCATCTGTAGCCAAAGTTTGCTCAGAGTATTGCTCTATAAATGCAAGAAATGTAGCCCATCAATATAATGGGCTACCTTGGGCTACCAATACGATGGGCTATGGTGAGGATTTTTGGTTCATGGTTGCATAAATTGAAAATCACTACAGAACCAAATCCAATGACCCGGGAGCTGATGTTCTAGTTCAGACTTAGGGTGTCTGCGACTATGGCCTCCAACAAGCTCGGGGTGACTTTGGTATTCAGGCCACTGCTAAGTGTTACTGTGAACTGTGCACCTTCCAAAAGCAGCAGACAGAGCTGGATTAGCTCATAATAGCTTAACATTCCTTGTTGACTTTTAATTAATCTAAACTCGTTTGCCTCAGTATTTCTGTTACTTAATAGATTGAACCTACCTAAGCTGACAGAACCTGAATGCAAAATCACACAGTACTTGTGACAATATAATACTGAAAAGGTTTGCTTTTGACATTACTGTGTCGTCTAAAAGAAGTTCTCCTCTTCCAATGAATGGGAGACTTTTTGCCCTAAAATAACAGCCATACAACCTCCAGTCTCCTGCTGTCTGCATTATTCAGAAGCACTCGATGATTCACTGGGCATGGTGTGCTTGACGAACGTCTTGAAACATCCCGGGCAGAGTAAAAGCTGCACCCCTAGGGATGCGTGCGATGGCAGAAGTGCGACCGTGACATCGCTCATTTCCCGAGCCAGAGACAAAGGCCTTCTTTATACGGTACCTTCACTATCTCCTGCCGCCTGCCTCATTCAGATGTTTGGACGTTTGGTCAAAAGATTCACGGCGACGTTTGACCTCCTTGAGATTTAGTAGGTTTAGACCCACAATTCTAAGTCAATTTTTTTTGCCTTTTTTCGTCTGGCGGTCTGAAAAATAGACAAGCAAACAATGCCTTTTTCCTATACACGACCCTCTCAGAGCACTTCAGCGCCTGCCCCATTGCCACTGGCCTGACTTGTCAAACAAAGGGCGCAGTGAGAGCTTATCTCCCCGGCCGACAGGTCGCCTCCGGGTGCTGGGCTCCGTGTGCTTCCGAGACGGCAGCCCGTGAAAAGTGGATGAGAGGGCTGCCTTCCCGAGACACAGATACAGCTGGAAGAGAGCCAACCGCAGAGCCCGGGCACTGGAAAGCCAAGGGATAAGTCTCCTTTCGTGGGCCCAAAATCTTCTCCAGAAAAAAAACACAAACTTTCTCTAAGAGTCTGTAGACGATCACAAAGCACCTCTTCTTATGTAACCAACAAGGCAGAAAGGAGTCAACACTGGACAAGTAGGTTTAATAAAAGGGATCGCCATCCTCTCAAAGGAACACTCCACTGCTGTTTAGAGACAGCTTGTCCCGTGCTGCCGCTGTGCGTCCCTGCCAAGCCCCTGCTTTCTCAACATGTTCGGGTGGAACATAAAATCTGGGATGGCTAACGACAAGCAGTCTGTTCAGATGGCAGCGACG